CTCCTTTGTCTTAGCTGGGTCTATCTGTTTGGAGTTAGTAGAATGATGGTACACAGGAAATCTCAGTGCTTATTAAAACATTTATGGTAGAAGTACAGGTTGTAAACTGGAAAGCATCAGACTGGAGCCAGACTGCGGATATGTTTGGTTTAGCCCACCTGATTTTTGGGGGTGGGTGGGAATTGAATTAGTTAACAATAGTTAAAGTCCAGAAGATTCCTAGTTACCTGGACTGCTGCTTCTGTTGAGAAGTAGGAGAATTCTGGTACCACCTAATCTACACTGGCAAAGATTAGTGGGAACTGCTTCCTAGTGAGACCTACATGGACCCCACCATTTCCTACTGTGTCCTCAACATAAAGGTTGACTGTCCAGTTTCATTGTTATCATTGGGCTTCCGCTCCTGTTTCCCTGAGCCCATCTCATTTCACTCACTCATGCGACTTTCAAGGCCTGAGTAGGTATGCGGGTGAGAGGAAGAGGTGGCTGTAGGGATCATGAGAGTCTGATGTCAGGAACCCCCTGCCTTCTAAAAAGGCATCTGTGCTAGGACCATGGCTGCTTCCTGGGGTGGGTGAGCTGCTAGGTGGGTAAAATGCCTTCAGTTGGGGGGATGAGAGCACATAGCCATCGACTGGTGCGAGCAACACACTTATTTCCTATTTAAAGCTCAAACTGTCCACATGGTCTCTTCTTCGAATAAATGTCTTGAATATCATTTACTCAGAATAGGGCCCCACGAACATGTAGGCTACGCCCAACTCAGCAAAGATGCACATTTTCAGTCACCTAAGAAAACCAATCTTCCTTTCAGCAATATCATTGGAAGTGCTCCAGTCCACTGGAGTGGCCATCCAATTTATTGTCTAAAAGAGACATTTTTTAAAAGTCAAAAGGGGCATTATTACTAATTATGCCGGGAAAACAGGAATAAACCAGCAAGCAAACTGGGGCATGTGGTCACCCTGCTCAATACGCAACCTCCACTGATGTCTTGGTTACAGAATCTGCCATTGGCCACTGGAGGTTGTTCTGGGAGACAGGTTTGTCCCGTTCCCATCCCTGGAGCGTGCTTGGCTCATCTCACTGTTGAAGTTCCTGCCAGATTGGAGAAGATCCACACAGCTCTGTTCTTCCAGAGGTTGAGCTCTCCCGTCTCTTTCTACCTTTCACTGATACCTCTAAGCCTGAGCCTATTAAGGACGGCCTTTGACTCTCAGATGATGCAGGTGGGACCTGGGGAGCAAATGACATTTGTCTTTGGATCCCTCCATTTCTTCTGCTGTGCTCCCCTCTTGCAGAGACTCTACTAGGTCATTCAGATTAAAGAAGTGTCCTCTACTTCTTGTTAAGCTAATTGGGTCACCCTTTTATGCTACTAGAAATCCACATTTTAGTGGAGGGGGAGGGCATGGCTCAGATCATGGTAGGGCACCACCATTGATGATCAAACCACTCTCCACAACCAGCAAAGACATATCATTGCAGCAGCAGTAAGTTTAACACCTCGCACTTGGGGGAGGAACAAAGAAAAATTGGGGGCATTTCCAATATTGAAAGAAAGAGCCAGGTTTTTGAAATGCAAAGATATGAGTCCCCTTCCAAGGGGCAAATTATACAGTAGGACCTAAGATATAAAAGGGAGGGGGGGTGGAGGGTAGTGAGATGGATATAGAAAGATCCAGAAAGGTGACTCTCAGATCCCTTAGATAAAGCCACCCAGCTACTCGTCAAAGATAAGAGGAAAAACTGGCTGGCTTTATTCTTTTAACAAAGATACACCAACGTGGCAGAGAGAGGAGGTTAGAAGGTTGGTAATAGCTCGTTCTCATTTACTGTGCATCCTCAACAACTCCATCACCTTATAAGAAGGCCTAGCAGGAGCCTGGGACATGAGGTTTTGACAGAATCTACAGTGGCAAGGAAAAGGGAGAGGCACACAGGAGGGAAGGGGGCTGATGTATTATTTACAGATGGAGAACTTGAACAGAGCAGACTCCGAGGGCTGGCCCAGAGACCTGTGTCTGTATGACTGTGAAATAAAGACAGACATATCCGAATCTTCACTCTGGCTCCCTTTGCTGCCAGACACCCAGGGCGGTGCTGGGCCAGCCTGCGTGTGTCTCATCTCATGGCTGTGTTGCAGTTTGTCCTGCTACCGTTTACCTTTCCCTGTGGCACAGAATCCTAAAGATCTCTACAGAAAGCTGTTTGGGCTTCTATGGGTGAAATCTCATTAGGTTGGCAAGGAGGGCATCTTGCTGGTAGTGACAGGTCTAATAAGCATGCAGATGGCACACACACACATACACACACTGTGAATGAAGTCACCACACAGTGGGCAGAGAGGAGGGATGTAGGGAATCTGATCCAGAGGGAACAAAAGGCTGCATCTTCTGCAGATGAGCTGAGTGAGAGTGACAGGAGGACAGCATGAGGAAACGAGGAGCAAAGTGTGAAAACCCACAGCAAAAGCCGCTGGAGAGCATATGCATTGGACTTCACAGCTCCCTCCCATCTCCAGCTCGCATTTGCTCCATATGCTGCTTTACACTGCGTTCCGGGGCCATCATGGGTTTTATTCCATAGTTTTTATACGAACATGAATGACTCACAGCTGCTCCCATACCCAATTCGCTCTCTAATGTCTTCGGCTGCGAGGAGAGAACAGCTTACATGAAACTTGCCAGCGACAGGCTCGGCAAAAGGAATCCTAATGCAGGGACAAGGAAGGTTAGAACCTGTGTGGGCCTGAAGGGTCTCTGAGAGGGCATGATGTGACCAATGGGGAAACTGAGACCCGTAGAAATGTGGAACTTGCTCAAGAACATGGAGACCAGGGAGGTCCCTTCATTTTTGGGCACCAGGAGGGCGCCTGTATTTTTATTTCCTGCCATGTTATCTCTTTTGCGGGGAGGTTTTCCTCCCCATCTAAGCGGTGATGAGAAAAAAGTAACTTGGATTAGTTGCTAATGATAGTTAATCCCCCACTGGGATCAACTGTGCTCTGCGTTACTCAAGCTGGTTATTAAAGTTTTAAATATCCACCAGAGCGTGGGGACCCCTGGGTAGGCTGTGTCCTGGGAGAGACCTACAGGGCTGGGCTCGGTGTGGCCAGTCACCTGGCTTCCAGATGTTTGGAGTTGCATTTAAAGTAGATCTCAATCCTAATAACAGTTACTGGTTTGACAACCCAGACGAACGTGCCTTTTGGCTGGTTCAGGTAATGACACTTGGCAAAACCGGATTCCCTCAACAGCTCCCAGAGGCCCAGGCAATCTCCACTTGACTGGAGGACAAAACAGTGACTCAAGAGGCAGGCACTGTCAAAGGCAATCCCTGCTCTCCCAGGCATCACAGATCTTGTGTGGAGCTGCCATGGGCGTCCCAGGGCCTCCGTGTCCCTAGATGCTGAACAGTCAGAGTGAAGCACCTAGCACCCCTGCGGCAGGCAGTGTGGTGCTGCACCATCTCGGAAGCCTGGCGGTGGTGTTGTGTAACTCCCTGCCATCTGTTCCTCAGAAGCAATATCACAAAGCGCTGAGCAATGGGCTACAGAGCTGCAGCTCCTGCCTGGAGCTGACAGCGTCTCAGTCTCAGCTGCTTGCCCGGGCGTCCCCTGCACTTTGCAGGCCCAAGCCTGCAGGTCCCGGGTGAGACTCCTGGAAGAGATCCAGGCAGCTCAGATGCTGTAAGGATGGGTTCTCTTGGGCCTTCTCCCCACTTTCCTCCCCCTCCCCCCATCCCCGGCCATGACCATAATATGGTCTACCTGTACCTTTGTCTGGCCAAAGTGATGGCTGGGTTCCTACCCCAACCTTTCAGTATATAGAGTTCTAATGAAGGCAAATCCTGGGCCATCCCAGGGTTCTGTGTGGTGGTCAGAGAGCGCTCAGCCAAGCCTTGAGCTAGGCTGGCAAGAGTGCTCTGGTTTTCTGGACTGTTTGATTCCCCCCTCTGCTCCTGGCCAAGGACTCTTTGGGGCTGTGCGGCAGGACTGCCCTGTGATGGAAAGACAACGTACCAAACAGAATGGCTTTCCGCAGATTCCTCCATCTCTGATTCCACTTCCTGGGGCTCCCTCTTACTGAAGAATTAATTCTGGAGCCCCACTTTCAGTAGTGCATGGGGGCTCCCCTTATGTTGAGCTCCGTGGGGAGAGGCGGGGAGGATGGTGTTATAGTAGTAGGGACATCATTCTCACCTCCTTTCCAAAGATAACCCTCCACATCCAATATCCCCCTACCCAGGGTCACTTTCCAAGAACCCCATGTGGTTGGCCCAACTTCCGACCCCCTCCTTGGAGCATCTGCCAGCACAGAGCTCTAAAAGCTTATAGGGAGGGCAAACCCTTGAGGGAAATGATTGCGCCTTAATTTTTAAAAGGATTCCTTTCAAGTTAAATTTAGACCAACTCAGCGTTCCATTAAGCAGAAAAAGTTGCCAGGCACCTGCATGCAGGCAGAGAAACACTCTGGGGAGTTGGCTGAACTCGGCCATGGCCCTGAGGCCCTGAAGCTCCAGGTCCCAAGCTCCTAGAGCCGGCTTCCGGGGGAGGGTGGGAGGGGGTGTCATGGAGGGGGTGGTGGTGCATGGAGGGCGGGACTAGGGTTGAGCGCCACGTGCAGACCCCCTCAGTGAGCCGGCAAGTCCTCCCAGGATAGCCCCGCCAGAGGTAGGTACCAGCGTGGAGCTGGCAGCGGCAGCCTCGTGGATGCACCATCCCGCCCCGCCCCGCCCCGCCCCAGGGTGGCCCCGAGCAGCGCTCGTGTTCAGCGCGGCCGGGCGGCCTCAGAACAGCACTGTGCGCCTCGGTCGGCGGGCGGCGGTAGCGCCCCCTCGCAGAGCCCCCTCGCTCGCACCCTGGCTCCCTCCGAGTAGGTCAGTCTGTCGTGCCTACCCTCCCCCTTCGCTCTCTCCTCCCCTTCCTCCCTCGTGTTCCTCTCGGGGTGCCGGGCACTGCCTCGGATTCCTCCCTCCCCGCTGCTCGAGTCAGTTTCCCTCGTGGCGGCTGCGGCGGGCGAGGCGGCGGCGGCGGCGCGGGGACCACGTCGCTGCTACTGCGCTTGACCAGCTTGGCTGCCCCCGGGCCCTCCCCTGCCGTGCCTCGGGGCGCCCCGCTCCCCCATCCCGGCTCTCTCCTCTCGGTTGCAGGCGGGGCGCTTTAAAGGATCCCGCCGCCCCTGCACCCGCGTTCCCGGGCTAGCGCTCCACCGAGCGAGGAGCTCTCGGGACTCCTGCCCCGCCGACCCTGACCGCCAGGGGGTGCCCCAGGGTCGCAGTTCCGCGGAGAGAAGGCGAAGGGGAACATGCGGCGCCTCTCTCGCCGCCTGGTGCTGCCGCTCTTCGGGGTGCTCTGGATCACCGTACTGCTGTTCTTCTGGGTAAACAAGAACAAGTTGGAGGTGTCCGTGGTACCTGAAGTGCAGCCCACCAAGGTACGGGGTTTGGCAGCGCGCCGGGCGCGGGGCAGCCGTTTGCAGGAGGGCGCGCAGCTCGCGCGCCAGGTTTGCAGGCTCCCGGGAAGCCAAGGCGGGGGTCTGGGTGCTGTGAGCAGGTAACCGGGCGCCGGATGCGGCTACCGGATATTTCTGGGTTTGAAAAGCTCGGGGGTATCTACGGACTTGCCGTGTGTGAAAGTGAGAGTGGGTGTAGGTGGTGGGCGCGCGTCGCGGGCTGAGTGGAGCTCTCAACTTGGGCAGCGCGCCGGGGTCCGGAGCAGAGGGGGCGCTGCAGAATTGTGGCCCAGAAGGTGGCGGTCTGTGGACTCCTCGAGAGAGTCGCTGGTGTTTGGGTCGGGTGGCAGGGCCAGCCGGTGCTGGCGCCAGTGAGAAGTCTGGCGGCTGAGCTGACCGCCTGCCTTCCTTCCCGCGGCTGCCAGGCCCCACACTGGGAGGCCAGAAGCCCGGGATGCGCCGCGCGCCTGTGTATCTCTGGTGAGTGCCCTGCAGCCTCCCACGGCCTGTTGCCACCCCTGTTTTATGATTGTCCCTGAGTCCTTCAGCTGCATTGGGAATTGAACACCAGTAAAGAGTCTGTTAACACTCCCCTCACCCCTCCCCCCTAAAAAAAACCACCAACAACAACAACAAACTCCTTGGAGAACCCAAGTGGCTTTTCAAACTCCTGCTCAGTTGGTTCTTCTGAGCAGAGCCAGAAGGTTCTTCCTACAGGCTCACTTTTACCTCGAATTCAGAGCTCCCATTTCTGTCTCCTCTTCTACGCACCTGGCTGTGGGACACAGAAAGAGGCCTGGGGGTTTCCTGACCAGGAATGCAGCATTTATGAACTTAAGGGCCTGGGAAAAAGCCTTTGGAATTATTTAAGGTCCAAAGCAGGAGACTGACAACAGGAGGAAGGGGAGTGTGGAGTCTCCCCAGAGGACTCACGATGCGCCAGGTGACATAGTGCTGCTTCTTCATAAGGAGTTGTATGAGTTGTGTGGTACCATCCTTATTTCATAGCGTAGGAAACAGGTTCAGTCTTTAACTGCCTTGCCTTAGTTCACGCTACTGATTTGAACTCTGACCTTGGATATTTAGGATCTTTTCTACTCTATCCAGGTGCCTCCCAGAACCTTTTTAAGGAAGTTTTCTGGCACTTAGGTTTTGGAATCTTGCCAATTCTCAGTTGTGTTCCCCAAGCATTTTTTGTTGGTTGGCCATATGCCATCACTGGACTAGAATACGTATCAGTATGGAGATGCAGAGCTTACAGGCTCGGGTGGGATTTGCTCATCAGTGGACCAACCATACAGTGTGCTGAGAGCCAAAATGGCCTCAGTGCACTTGGTGTCATGGGGCCAGGGGACTTCCTGGAGGAGGAGGACTTGATGGAACTGAGTTGAGAAGTATGAGCAGTAGGTCTATGGGTGGGTAGGGAGGGCACTCCAGGTAGAGGTTAACAGCACCAAACAGGCTCAGGAATGGCACAGCATGCCCTGTGAGTTTGGCAGCATTGGAGTGTGAAGCAGGTGGCAGATGTCAGGGATGAGACTGGGGAGGTGAAGGTGGGGTATGTTGGTAGGACCTTGTGGGTGCTGGGGAACCTGGTGGGGGGAGGGTTACTAAGCAGGAAAGTGAGGAAGCTTCAAACAACCTTTGGAGCACAAGATCGGTTTTCTCACTCACCCCAGACCTGCCCATAGATCTAGGGAGCTTTCCTCCTTCTTTCCTGGATGGTTCTGCCGGTGGGGACGTACACTCTCTGTTTCGTGTTGAACCTCATTACCTGAAGTTTACTTATTCTTAGCTTCTGCCAGGGTCTGGGACAAGAGATGTTTCCTTCTTTGTGCACTTTGTCTTTCCTTACCTGCCTCTTCCCTTCCTGGTGTGCACTGAACACACATTTATGGATCAAATGCAGCCCTGCGCCAGGCTCTGTGCCAGGTTTGGGGGCGACTGTGGTGAGTACATTGTGTCTCTGCCCTTTGGGGGGCTGTCATGAGCTCCTGGTGGAGGCAGCATTACAAACAAATGAGTAGTGTTGGGAGTCGTCTACTGCCGTAGTGCTGTCAGTCACGGAAGACCGGCGTCTAGTTTTGACCACTTGCTCTGTGTCTTAATATCCTATCCCCCCTCCCCCTTTCTGTATCCTTTATTACTAGGAGTTCCTTATGCTTTAAAAATCTTGATACCTTGGTGCCCTTCTTTTTTGTTAGTATATTTTTCCTTCCTGTTTTTCATCTGTAGGTATGACTATACATCTGCATAGACGTGGTGTGTGTATTCGTGGGTGTGTTTGTGTCTGGAGAATGAGCACCCCTCTGTTCTTAGTGTATATGTGTCTGAGAACAGAGGTGGAGAGACAAAGAGAGATCTCATCTTAGCCCCAGAGTAATTTTATTCCCATGCCCAATCTACGGTGTAGGGAATTTGCTCATCCTGCCGGAAGGAGTGCAGTTGGGGTTCCTAAACCAGACTGCATGTGAGAATCACCTGGAGGGCTGGTTTACCATATGCATTTTGGGATTTATGATTCTGTGGGTTTGGGAGAAATTCTAGAATCAGTACTGTAACAAGTGCTCCATGTGAATCTGAAGCAGCCTATTGGTGGATGGCATTCAGGAGCTTGATGAAGAATATGAAGTGTGTGGACTTTTTAATAGTTCCATTGGCCCCATGTAAATATGCCTGCGTGATTTCATTCTTCTTGAGTTCCTGGTGGACCAGGCTGTGTGAGAGGGTTCACGCGTGCAAAATAACAACAGGTAGCCTTTGTACAATGCTTTCCAAATTCACAAACTCCATTTTACATAGATGTACTCCTTTAATCTTCGCAACTACCACGTGAGGCAGATAATACTTTTATGCAGGTAAGACTGAGTAATGAGGTTATACAATTGGCCCATGCTAACAAGGCTTATTATTAAGTAGCAGCATCAGAGGCAGGGATTGGACAGGATCATTCTGGGCACTGCCCACCCACATGCTCCTTCCGTGCCACTGTGCCTTGCGGACTGCCTGAGTCTACACTTGTGGGTGATGGGGTGAGGTTAGGGATGTTTGCAGCACGTGCTCCCCAACCCACTCTCCAGCACTCCTGTGTCTCATCCCCCTAGACACTGGCCTTTGGAGAGCTGCAGGGGGTTGCTGTGATTTGTGAGGGAACCCCCCAGAGCGAGATGCCATTCTGCCCCGGGCAGAGGAGGCTCCTTGGCTGGTCAGAGTACACCTTGGTGGGGAGGTAGCACCCAAAGGTTGCAGCACCTTTGGGTTGGAAATCATTGACCGGGGCAGAGATTGTTTCCTGCCGGAAATTTGGACATTTCCTGGGACATTGGTCTATTGTGGGGAAAAACTCAATGCTGGGTGAGTTTAGCATCCTAGGTTTCCCTAAGAAACGCTCATGCATAGCCATGCAGAGAGCCCTTGCCTTGGGCGTGGCAAAGCCTCCGGGAACTGTTCATAAGCCTAGGATTCTTCCCACTGCAGTGGGGAGTCAGCTTATTTTCCCAGCCCAAGAGCAGTGGGCTCCCTCCTCTTAAACGCACTTAAGAGAAGTTGTGAATGCTGGAGGGATCGGAGAGGAGAGGGCTGTGGCGAGGGCTCCTGGGCGGGGGACCTCCGGATTTTAGATTCCATGTGGCAAGTTGCCTTCCCTGGGGTCCGCTACGGACTGGAGTTCTGGTGCCCCAGGCCCTGGATCTCCTTTGTTCACAGTGTCAGGACACATCTCATTCACCCAGTGCCGGGACCTCCAAGGTGGGCCTGAGAGTAAAATAAAACCAATGCCTGGTCACAGTCCAGCTGATGTGGAGCAGGCAGGCTGTGCCACTGACGGAAGAAAATTGAGTGTTCCCCCCTAGTTTCAAGAAGGGCTGCTTCTATTAATAGCTCAAGTAAAGATTTCTTTAAGTGTGACTTTTTACTATTGATTCTGTTCTTTTACCCGATCCCCTCCCCCCAAATTCAGCAAGCTCTAATTCCTAATTGGAAATCATGTAACAGGTTTGATGTCTTCGTTCAAACTACACGTTTAGCCATAAATATGGTACCACTAAAAAATACCCCAAAAATGTTTTCATTTCTTCTCTCCTCTATCATTTGTTTGCCTTTTGGAGAGGTCTGCAATAAATGACGGAATTGGGAAAAAAAAGGAGAAAACCAGAAAATTTGTCTCCTATTTCCTAGAACTAAATTTAGTCCAAGGGCTTAAGCTTTAGTAAAAGCCAAAAAAAAAAAAAAAAAAAAAAAAAAATTGAGACCTGAGGGTAATTTTTTGAGGAAAATATTGGAAATGTAAAGGCTTTGAACAAAGTGCCTGGGGCCCATGTAAATGTATTTGTGTTGAACTAGGGATACAGCGAACACTATGAGAAAAGAACTCGTTTTTTCCATAACATTTGCATACCACAAATGCCTGCAGTATATGACACTGTTATTTTATTCCCCATTTAGTAGATAATTTCTCCCATTTAAAAAATCATGAATTTCAGAGAGAGAGCCCGTATTAATCTGCTGGTGCTCAGCGGGTGGGTACTGGACTCTGTCCAGGGGATTTGGACTCTGGCACGACCGGAAGTAGCCCATTAGCAGAAGAATGTTTATCCTTTCATTGGTTCCTGTGTGGGAGCTGGGCCCTGGGCGGTGGGGTTCCTGGAGCAGCTGGTGGGATGGTGGTGCCTGGTGGCCCCGCAGTGGCTGCTGTGAGAGGCTGGGAAATAGGGAAGTAGGAGGTTGGAACCTCAGGTATTCAAGAATTAGTCTGTCTCTGCTTTCTGGATATCAATAAGCATTTTAAAAAAATAAACAGATGAATCTGAGTTTACTCCTCCCTTTCTGATCCCGTCTAGCTGGGGGGAATTTCTCCTTCCCGGGTCATTTTTGGAAGCCCTGGGGTGTACTCAGGCTCTAGCTCCCTTTCCCAGCCAGCACCCTCCCCCAGGTCCTGCTGGGAGGCCCCGTCCAGGGGTCCAGGGACCCCCAGACCTGCTTTA